TGCATGCAAAATTCAAGATGTCATTGTTTTTTACCGCTGAGTAAACTCTAATGTGTATATGTTCCACACATTCTTTAACCATTCATCTATTGAGGGGCACCAAGGTTGTTTCCAGGTTCGAGCTATTACAAATAGTGCTACTATAAACACAGTTGAACAAATGCTTATGTAGTATAATTGGGCATCTCTTGGGTATATTTCCAAGAGTGGAATTGCTGGGTCCTGAGGGAGGTTGACTCCCAGTTTCCTGAGAAACCGCCACACTGATTTCCAAAGTGGCTGCACAAGTTTGCATTCCCACCAACAATGGATGAGTGTTCTCCTTACTCCACATCCTCTCCAGCATAGGCTATCCTTGGTGTTTTTGGTTTTAGTTATTCTGACAGGTGTAAGATGGTATCTCAAAGTTGTTTTGATTTGCATTTCCCTGATCGCTAAGGATGTTGAGCATGACCTTAAGTGTCTTTTGGCCATTCGAAATTCTTCTGTTGAGAATTCTCTGTTCAGTTCAGTACCCCATTTTTTAATTGGGTTAATTAGAGTTTTAGTGTCTAGTTTCTTGAGTTCTTTGTATATTTTGGAGATCAGACCTTTGTCTGATGGGGTTTGGTGAAGATCTTCTCCCAATCAGTAGGTTGCCTTTTTGTCTTAATGACAGTGTCCTTTGCTTTACAGAAGCTTCTCAGATTCAGGAGATCCCATTTATTTATTGTTGCTCTTATTGTCTGTGCTCCTAGGGTTCTACCTAGGAAGTGGTCTCCTGTGCACATGTCTTGTATGCTATTTCCCACTTTCTCTTCTATCAGTTTAATATGGTCAGATTAATATTGAGGTCTTTAATCCATTTGGACTTGAGTTTGGTGCATGGTAATAGATATGTATCTATTTTCTTTCTTCTAAAGGTTGACATCCAGTTATGCCAGCACCATTTGTTAAAGATGCTTTCTTTCTTCCATTGTATAGTTTTAACTCCTTTGTCAAAAATCAGGTGTTTATAGGTTTGTGGATTAAAATCTATATCTTTGATTTGATTCCATTGGTCAACATCTCTGTTTTTGTGCCAATACCAAGCAGTTTTCATTACTGTAGCTCTGTAATAGAGTTTGAAGTCAGGGATGGTAATGCCTCCAGATGTGCTTTTATTGTATAGGATTAATTTGCCTATCCTGTGTTTTTCATTTTGCCATATAAACTTGATTATTGTTCTTTCAAGGTCTGTGAAGAATTTTTTTGGATTTTGATGGGGATTGCACTGAATCTATAGAAGGCTTTTGGTAGAATTGCCATTTTTACTATGTTGATCCTCCCAATCCAAGAGCATGAGAGATTCTTCCATTTTCTGGTATCCTCTTCCATTTCTTTCTTCAAAGCCTTAAAGTTCTTGTCAAACAGATCTTTCACTTATTTGGTTAGAGTTCTCCCAAGATATTTTATGCCATTTGTGGCTATAGTGAAAGGTGATGTTTCTCTGATTTCCTTCTTTGTATCTTTGTTCTTTGTGTATAGGAGGGCAACTGATTTTTTGGAGTTGATCTTGTGTCCTGCCACAGTACTAAAGGAGTTGATCAGCTGTAGGAGTTCTCTGGTAGAATTTTTAGGGTCGCTTATGTACACTATCCTATCATCTTCAAATAATGAAAGTTTGACTTCTTCCTTTCCAATTCGAATCCCCTTGATCTCTTTTTGCTGTCTTATTGCTATTGCTAGATCTTCAAGCACCATATTGAAGAGGTATGGAGAGAGTGGACAGCCTTTTCTTGTTCCTGATTTTAGTGGGATGACTTTGATTTCTCTCCATTTAATTTAATGTTAGCTCTAGGCTTGTTGTATATTGCTTTTATTATATTTAGGAATGAACCTTGTATCCCTAATCTCTCCAAAACCTTTATCATAAAGGGGTATTGAATTTTGTCAAATGCTTTTCCAGCATCTAATGAAAGATCATATGGTTTTTCCCTTCAGTTTATTTATATGATGGATTACATTGATAGATTTTCATATGTTGAACCAGCCCTGCTTCTCTGGGATGAAGCCTACTTGATCATAATGTATAATTTTTTGGATGTGTTCTTGGATTATGCTTGCCAGTATTTTATTGAGAATTTTTGCATCGATGTTCATGAGTGAGATTGGTCTGTAATTCTCTTTCTTGGTTAAGTCTTTGTGTGGTTTTGATATCAGGGTAACTGTAGCTTCATAACAGGAGTTAGGCAATGACTCTTCTGTTTCTATTTTGTGAAACACATTAAGGAGCATAGGTATTAAATCTACTTGGAAGATCTGATAGAATTCTGTATTGAAACCATCTGGTCCAGGGCTTTTTTTTGGTAGGGAGGTTTCTGATGACAGCTTCTATTTCCTTGCAACTTACAGGTCTATTTAAACTGCTTACCTGGTCTTGACTTTATTTTGGTATATGGTATTTATCTAAAAAAGTTTTCTTTATGTGGGCACTTAGTGCTATGAACTTTTCTCTTAGCACTGCTTTTATAGTGTCCCATAGGTTTGGGTATGATGTGTCTTTACTTTTGTTGAATTTAAGGAAGACTTTAATTTCTCTCTTTATTTCTTGCTTGACCCAGGGATGGTTCAGTAGTTGGCTGTTCAGTTTCCATGAGTTTGTAGGCTTTTTGGGGTTAGAATTGTTGTTGAATTCTAACTTTATTCCATGGTGATCTGATAGTACACAGGTGGTTACCTCAATTTCTTTGTATCTATGGATATTTGCTTTGTTACCAATTATGTGATCAATTTTTGAGAAGGTTTCATGAGATGTTGAGAAGGTTATATTCTTTTCTGTTTGGGTGGAATGTTCTACAGATGTTTGTTAGGTCCATTTGGTTCATTCCATCTGTTAGTTCTCTTATTTCTCTGTGAAGTTTCTGTCTGGTTTACCTGTCCATTGGTGAGAGAGGAGTGTAGAAATCACCCATTGTTAGAGTGTGGGGTTTGATGTCTGCTCTGAGTTCTAGTAATGTTTCTTTTACATATGTGGGTGCTTTTATATTAGGGGCTTAGATATTCAGGATTGAGAGTTCCTCCTGATGAATTGTTCCTGATATGAGTATAAAGTGTCCATCTCCATCTCTTCTGATTGATTTTAGTTTGAAATCAATTTCGCTAGATATTAGTATAGCCACACCTGCTTGTTTCTTTGATCCATTTGATTGGAAAGCCTTTTCCCAACCCTTTACTGTGAGGTAGTGTCTGTCTTTTTGTTTGAGGTGTGTTTCTTGTAGGCAGCAGAATGTTGGATCCTGATTTCGTATCCATTCTCTTAACCTGTGCCTTTTTATAGGTGAGTTGAGTCCATTAATATTAAGTGATATTAATGACCAGTGGTTGGCGACTCCGGTTATTTTTCCTGGTGGTAGTGTTTGTGTGTTTCCCTTCTTTGAGTTGTGTTGGTTTAGGGTGGGCAGATGCTTGTGTTATTATGGGTGTTGTTGGCTTCCTTGTTTTGTGATTTTCCTTCTAATATTTTCTGTAAGGCTGGTTTTGTAGCTATGTATAGTTTTAGTCTGTTTTTGTCCTGGAATATCTTGTTTTCTCCATCGATGGTAAATGCAAGCTTTGCTGAGTATAGTAGTTTGGGCTTGCATCCATGGTCTCTTAGTTTCTGCAGTACATCTATCCAAGACCTTCTGGCTTTCATGGTTTCCATTGAGAAATCAGGTGTAATTCTGATAGGTTTCCCTTTATATGTTACTTGACCTTTTTCCCTTTCAGCTCTTAATATTTTTCTTTATTCTGTATGTTCTGTGTTTTTATTATTATATGGCGGGGGGATTTTTTTTTTTGATTCAGTCTATTTGGTGTTCTGTATGCTTCTTGTACCTTCATAGGACTATCCTTCTTTAGGTTGGGAAAGTTTTCTTCTATAATTTTGTTGAATCTATTTTCTGGGCCCTTGAGATGTAAATCTTCTCCTTCTTCTACACCTATTATTCTTAGGTTTTGGTCTTTTCACAGTGTCCCAGATTTCCTGGATGTTTTGTGTTAAGAATTTGTTGGATTTGTTTTGTTCTTTAATCAGTGAGTTTATTTCCTCTACAGTATCTTCAGTGTCTGAGATTCTTTCTTCTATCTCTTGTATTCTGTTGGTAATACTTGTCTCTGCAGTCTCTATTTGTTTACCCAGATTTTACATATCCAGCCTTCCCTTGGTTTGTGTTTTCTTCATTACCTCCATTTTATTTTTCATATCTTGAACTGTTTCCCTTACCTGTTTGATTGCTTTTTCTTGGTTTTCTTCGTTTTTTGGGGGGAGATATCTTTGAAAGATTTATTCATTTAATCTATATTTTTGTTTATTATCTCCATTTCTTTATGGCAGTTTTTCACCTCCTCTTTAAGGTCCTCTATTATTTTCATAAAGTTCTATTTAAAGTCGATATCTTCTATTTCTTCTGGACTAGGGTGTTCAATTATTCTTGTTGTGTGATCTCTGGATTCTGGTGATGTCATGTTGCCTTTCAGGTTGTTTGAGGTATTCTTGCATTGGCGCCTGCCCATCTCTTCCTTCAAATGGAGCCAGGAGAGTCTTGGTGTCTTGGTCCAGTCTTTGCTGTGACTGACTCTCTGGGTGGATCTCTTCAGTGCAGAAGCAGGAACTGTCCCTGTCTGGATGAAACTCCTCAGCACAGACACAGGGTCTCCTGATAGTCCAAGAACACCACAGACAAAAGGATCATCGTGGAGGTGATGGGAGGACTGTGCTTTCTTCCAGGACAGTCTGCCCAAGATAGCACACACTCACCCCTCTGGATGAAACTCCTCAGCACTGAAATAGGGATAGCTGATAGTCCAAGGACACCGGAGACAAAAGGGTGCCTGCCCATCTCTTCCTTCAAATAAAGCCAGCAGAGTCTTGGCGTCTTGTTCCAGTCTTTGCTGTGGCTCTCTGAATACTTGGGAGTTTTTCTTGGTCTGCTGTCACTTAGGTCCCCTCAGCACTGACACAGGCTGTGTTGCAGAGTTTCAAAGACCTTGCAGGCAAAATAACTATGGATCACTTCACAAATTTGCGTATCATACCTGCACAGGGTCCATACTGATCTTCTCTGTATCATTCCAATTTTATGTGTATATGCTGCCAAAGGGAGCACAATTTTTTTAAGAAAAAAATAAAAATTTTATACTTAAATTACAAAAATACTAAATATATATTTTAAAACATCTTTTGAAATATTTTGTATTTGTAAGGCTATAAAACATCTTAACTTCATGAAAGGTTTTATTATAATACAATTGTGATAATAAGTAGCTTTAATGGGCAATAAGTACTCAATTCATTTCCCAAAGTTTCAGCTTCCTTCTCCATTCTATTTGTATGTAAAATTTAGGCAAAAGGCCTTATTATTCTAGAACTGCTATGAGGTCTAGATACAGTTTGCCTGGCTACCAAACTCAGAAAACTGATAAACTCACAAAACAGATTTTTTTTTCAAAATATCCCTTACTTAATTAAATTCACTCTCTGACAACTGCCATTGGAAATCATTCATCTATGTCTCCTGGTAAATGATTAGGAAGAAAAATTATGTAAAGTTCAACTTTAAGTTCTGAGAATAAAAAATGTCTTAGGATCTAAAAACGTGTATTAATATGTATAAATGAAAGTTATAAAGGTCCCAGGATATTGTTGTAGAAGGTTGCTTGCTTGTTCCTGGCTGCTCAGCCCCAAAATAATCATACAGAAACGATATTATTTGCAATACTGTTTGGTCAATAGCTTAAGTGTATTTCTGGCTAATTTATATATCCTAAACTAACTTATCTCCATTAATCTGTGTATTGCAATATAGCTATGGCTTAATGGTAGTTTCAACATGTCTGTCTCTGGCGGTGACTCCATGACCTTTTCTGTCTCTGACTTCTTTTTCTCAGGATTTAATTTAGTTTTCCCCACCTAGTTCTGTTTGGCTCTGCTATAAGCCCAAAGCAGTTTCTTTATTAATCCATGACAATCACAGCATACAGAGGAGAATCTCACATCAGGATGTGAAACTTGAATTGTAATAAGAAAGTGACTTAGGTACTTCAATGCAAATTATCTATCACACATTAATAGAATTTGTAAATGTAAATTATAGAGGTCTGAGGACATCAAGACCTGAATTGAAAATCTAAAATGCTTAGGGTTTTTTTTTTGGCTTTTTTTAAAATTGTAGTTTTTATTTATGGTGAAATGTAAGAATTTTCAAATGCTTAAACTGTGTTCATGGCACTTATGAAAAATGTTACACATGGCTTGGCAAATGTGGCATCTATCTATCTATCTATCTATCTATCTATCTATCTATCTATCTATCTACCTATCATCTATATATTTTGGTTTTTCAAGAGTGTTTCTCTGTGAAACAATTCTGGCTGCACTGGAACTTGCTTTGTAGACCTGTCTGGCCTCTGCCTCCTGAGTTTTGAGCATTGTAGTTTTTATAAATATTTCATATTACAAGTCTACTGGGGATCCTAAGGGAATTGCCATTGTGGAGTTTAAAACGAAAGATATAGGTGCCATGCATCTGTCTTACTTAGGGTTTCTATTGTGTTTTGCCCACTCTTCCACTGAGTGGGCTTTAAACCCAATCAGATCTTTGTTTGTTACTCCCATATACTCTGTGCCACTATTGCACCTACATTACAGGCAGGATACTCTTGTAGAAGAAAGGGTTTGTAGCTGGCTTGGTATTTATATTTCTCCTTTGGCAGTGTGGAAAGGACATTCTAGTATTATAAATACTAGTACGTATGAGCAAAGGCCCTAAGTAGATACTAAGTCAACTTCTCCATTTTCAATGAGTTGTATACCTGTTGTTCTCATCAATGAGGCCTTACATTCAGTTTGTAGAAAGCCATCAATAGTTATGGCAATAGCCTGGGTTCTTTGGGGGTTCCCATGGTAGCCCTTTTGTCAAAAATCTTTATATGTAACCAATTTTGAGTACTGTAAACTTTATTTGGTAATAAGAGAAATAAAGTGGGGGCTCTGTCTTCCCTATTATTTGTCAACTGCATTTAGATCACCTTCATATATGTATAAATAATGGAAAGCTTCTACTGCATTAGGTTTTCAGGTGTCCTCTCGAGTGGTTCTGACTTTTAGCTGTCCCACTGTATTCCCGTTTTTCTTCTTCCCCTCCCTCTTCCTGTTTGATCCTCCCATTTCCATTCTCTCCCCTCATCCATCCATAACCCTCTATTCTATTTCCCCTTCCTAGGGAAGTTCATCACTCCTTAGTACCTTAATCTCTACCTAATCACTGTTTTATATACTCATTGTTTTTATAGCTCACTTATCAATGACTTTATTGCTAACATCTACATACAAATAAATACGTACAATATTTTACTTTCTGAGTTACTTCACTGAGTTACTTCTAGTTCCTCTCATTTACCTATGAATTTTATGATTTCATTTTTATAATGGCAGATAATATTCTACTGTCTAATTGTCTGATATTTTCCTTATGCATTCATCTATTGACAGGCATCTAGGTTGTTTTCAATTTCTGACTTCATTGAATAGAGCAGCAATAAACATGGATGAGCAAAGACTCTGGTAGAATAAAGCACCCTTTGGTTATAGGCCTAAGAGTGGTATATCTGGACCCTGAGGTAGATCATTTCCTGTATCTCTTATGAACTTCCTTACTGATTTCTGTAGTGGTTGTACAAGTTAATATTCCCACCAGCAATGGATTAGTATTCCCCTTATTACACATTCTCATTAGGAAGAACTGTCATTTGTTTACTGACCTTAGCCATTCTGAATGCTGTAAGGGTATGGTAGTTTGAATGTAGTTGGCCGCCATAATCTCATAGGAAGTGTCAATATTGGGAGGTGTGACTTTGTTGGAGTAGGTATGACTTTCTTGGGGAAAGTGTGTCACTGTTCAGGCAGTCTTTGAGGTTTCCAACGATGTGGATACTACTGCTCAGTTTCTCAGTTGGCTTCCCATTGCTTGCAAGATGTAGCACTTTCAGCTACTCCTTCAGCACCAAATCTGCCTGTATGCTTCCATGCCCCTGCCTTAATGGCAATGGACTGAATCTCTGAAACTGTAAGGTGCTGTCTCAATAATATATTTTTCATTTATAAGAGTTGATTTGGTCATGGTGTCTCTGCACAGGAATAAAAACCTTAACTCATTGGCACCAGGAACTGGGGTATTGCTGTGGTAGGCACAGCCATGTTTTTGTTTGGACTTTGGTACTTTGAGTTTTGAAAGCAAGAGAATACTTTAAGCAGTATCTAATGGGTCATTCAAGGAGGAACATGAAAGATAGTGGTACTGGATGTGATTTGATGAACTGTAGTGATTAAGAGGTTTCAGAGAAGAAAGTTATTATGTGGTCTAGAGACTGGTCTTGTGGTACTTTGGTCAAGAAATGGCTGCTCTTTCTTTTGTCCAAAGAGTCAGCCTGAGGCTAAAGTGAAGGGTTTTGGATCAGTTCTGTTGGCAGAAGAAATCTCAAAACAGTCTAGTATAGACTCTGTTATGTGGTTATCAGTGGTAACTCTAATGAAGATTTATAATGAAAAGGATCAAGCTAAGCAGAGTAAATTACAGAATATAAATTTTGAGGAGGAAAAGGAGCACCAGAAAGTTGAAAGGAGCTAAATTCTGTGTTCAAGTTGATAAATGGATTAAGAAATGGAAGAAAGTTAGCAGTGACCTCAGGGCAAAATCCCACCCAAGTAAGTTTCCAATTTGTGAAAAGTAACTAAAAATAAAGCTGAGAGCTTGGTGTGGTATGCACATCTTTAAACCCGGCACTGAGAAGGAAGAGGCTGATGAAGCTCTGAGTTTGAAGCCAGCCTATTCTGCAGAGCAAGTTTCAGGAGAGTCAAGCTTAGGCAGCACAGGACAGAAAGCTGGTAAAAAAAAAAAAGCTATTGAATACTGGGGTCATGTTTCAGCCTCAACAGACAGTAGAACTTGGCAGCTTTGGCTATGTGGTTCTGGCCTTAGCGTTAAGGATAAAAACAGGGTATAGAATTTGCCCCTGTGCCTAAATAAAACTGCTGAGACCATGCATATGTCAGGGGTTTCCCTGAATGAAGGCCTAGAGAGGCCATTGAGTGAATCTGTGAGGGATTGCCTTGGACAAACCAAGAAGTTAGAGACGCCAGAGTTGTGGGATACTGTTTTGTTGTGTTGTGAGACCCCAGTCAACCACCAGAAGCCAAAATCCAATGAAAACACAACAGGGCATTTGTTGAAGCAGATCTGAACATGGGCAACAACTCAGCACTCAGGAGACTGAAGCAGTCCTGAGCATTAATAGAGTAGTGTTTATAAAGGGAAAAACCACAGGTAGGAGTCACAAGCTTTGACATTACTCATAAGGTCTTGGGGTAGTTGATATTTAACCTGATGGGCTATGGGGAGCAGGGACATACAGAGTTAAAGGGTAGGGTGGTAAAAAGTACATCAGACATAGTTAAGGCATGTGGTTAATAGTTGTCATCAGTCATACCCAGGGTGAAGTTCAATCCATTTCAGGAAGTTGGGGTCATGGAGAGGGTATAAGAGGGGTGGCTTTAGTTTAGGTCAAATGTGGCCAACACAATACCTGTCAATAAGGGCTGTTAATGGGGAGTAGAACCAGTTCAAGAGAAAGAAGTGTGTTGCAATCAACAAGGCTGAAAAGAGTTGTAGAATTGCAAAGTGTTCTGACATCAGACTTAGGGATGCAGTTTGGAGTTTGCCCAGCTGACTTTTGGTCTTGGTTTGGTCCAGTATTTCCTTGCTATGCTTCCTACCCTGCATTTTGGAACAGGAATGCATATCCTGTGATAATATATGTTGGAAATGTGTGATCTACTTTTTTTAATTTGAATTTTACAGGTGATTGATGTCAAGAGATAACATAAATCTCAGAAGATATTTTGAATTTTGAGCTTTTAAATATTGTTGAGACTGTGACAGACTATGTGGACATTTGAAGTTGGACAAAATGCATTTTTAATTATGCTATTGTTACAAGCTTATGGATACCAAGAGAGTGGTAGTTTGCTTTCAATTAGCCCCCATATTCTCATAGTAAATGGTACAGTTAGGAGATATAGTTTTGTTCTAGAGGATATGGCCTTGTTGGA